ATTCCCACAGAGTGGGACAGTTCTGCTTTGTGTAGAGGCCCTGACTCCTTGTAAGTTTGTTAAATGTATTTTGCTTCTGCCGGTCTAATGAACAACGTTACAATATGTTTTCTAGTTCAGAATACTATACACACATTGTTTAGATCGTTTAAAATCTACTGCGGTTTTGTGGGAACGAATTTGTTAGGTAATTCAGTAATTAAGTTTCCAAAAATGTTACTAATATGTGTATGTTATTCTTACTTTCCGCATTAGTTATTTCTAAGAATATGTTACAACTTAATTCTTTAGACCAATTGCCCTTTTCCATTGTTCACTGCAGGCCTGGAGCACCTCTCTGTAAGGCAGTTTCAGGGGGCTCGGCTTGTTCAGCCTGGAGACAAGAAGACCCTATAACAGTCTTCTAGTATCTAAAGGGAACCTACAACAAAACTGGAAAGGGACTCTCAGGAGGACAAGAACAAACAAGTTTAAATTTAACGAGAGTAGGTTTAGTTGAATATTAGGAAGAAATTCTTCACTATGAGGGTGGTGAGGCACTGAAACAGGTTACACAGAGAAGCCAAAGTAGGGTAAATGGGCAGCCTGATCTAGTGGAGGTGTCCCTGCACTTGGAAGGGGGAGTTGGAACTATCCCAACCAAGCTATTCTATTACTCTTAGTAACCATATAGTTTGCAGTAGTTACATGTTACACGTGTATTTGGATATACATTGCTTTTCTCCTTAAATACATGATTTAAACCAAATCAAGAATTTGCTAGTAAGGATTCTCAATATGACAGGCTTAATACTGTGTTCTTTTGCCACAGGAACAGGAAAATTGTTAATTATTCAGAATTTGGGGATTTTGAAGATGGTGGTAAGTGATGTATTTCTGTACATAACTGAAATGTCAAGCACGGATGCCACAACCTAAAGCATCAGCAGAGTGTTCTTTTTTGTGACTTAGTTAAGTAACAAGGCTATTACTGTTTTCAGTGGATGTAAACTGGGCACATTGTTAAAAATCTTGATTCAACACGAATATGATTTCGGTAAGCCAGAGCATAACAACAGTTTGCCAGGGATCTGTTGAATGCACTGTGTCTTTTGATTGCAGGAAAATCTGTTTCTCTGCCTGCCTCAGTTTTCAGAGAGAGTTACTTGTTCCATGTCCTCCTGATGATCATTTCACTAGTCTGCATATCAGAATATAAAGGAATTTATGTAGTTGGCTGTGCACAGATCTAACATTTCTCATGGAGGTCTGTCATAAAGGATTTTGGATAAGGATTTAGCAATCAAATTTTGAGTTCTACTGGTAAGAAAAATAGATTGCAGGCTATTTGTTGTCGTGAGAGTCCTCCTTTACTTCTAAGCCCTAATGGGTATTGCATAATTTTCCTTTATGAATTTAAATTAACTTTTTTTTTTCTTTTTCCCCTGCTATTTGTCAGTTTTTGGTATCCATTGAACATTTTGAAGTGATAGGAAGGGGAAGGAAAAATTAAATGATGTTGGAGATCTCTTGTAAGTCATGTGAGTTAATGCAGAGTCTTAGTTTCATGAGTTTAAATATGGTTCGTAACTTTTCTTATTTTTTTTAAGTGTCCACTTGTAATATTAAAAAAAAAAAAAAGTTTGTTTTCTTCTGTCTTTTAGATTTTTTTCTCTCGGAAGAGATCATGTATTTGTTCTATGGTATTTAGAAAACACATTGTTGTATTTTTCCTTATTTTCCACTGTGAGCTGCATTGTAATTGGTCAGAAGAAGTTTTCCTACCTTCAAATATTCTCGTAAAACTGGAGAATGTGTTTTGTACTTGGTGAGAGGCAATGTGAGAAGGCTAGAAAATAGGAAGTAGTCTACATTTCTTGTGAATGGGAGGCATTAATGTAGTTAATTTCCAAAACAACAAGACTCTAAAACTAATGAATGACAGTGATTGCTATTATAATTGATTATTAAGTATCTCAAAAGATGAAACTTGCATCTATTGAGAAACTCAACACTAAACCATTAGTCACATATTGTTAATATAAATTGCCTTTAACACAGATGTATAAGAAGTCTTGTTATATTTTCATTTAAATTGCATTGAAGAACAGTAGATTTACACATGTCTCTTTTATTAACAGATTTAATTTCGGAAAGGTTGTGTATTTTTTGTATTTTCAGTATATGATGAAATTGAGTTGAGTGACCTCTTTTTGACCACATAGAAGAAGGAAAATTAATTAAAGCTTGTTAATATCTCCTACATAGATGAAGACTTTGCATGCATAGCTGCACCTTTGACAAAAAAATCCAGAACGCAGCCTGAGGAACCAAAAAAGGAGAAAAAGAAGAAGCAAAAAACACGAGAATTGACTCCATCGCAAAAAGAGTCACCTATTGGAAGGTAAGAAAAATTGAAATGTGGTTTACTATGTTTGGAATAGGAACCTGGACTTAAAAACTGTATTTTTTTCTTTTTTTCCTATAGTTTTATGCATTTGAGAATGAAGACTCAAAATGTTGTTTTAAGAATTAGAATGTTAAGGAAGTACTGCTATAAAGGAGAAAGTGTTGTTGTTGTTTTTACCCTTTATCTTCATTAAACACACTGCACATTGTATTTTCAGGGATAGTCTTGTGCATATCTCAGATGTGATACACGATTTTTATGGCTATTATTTTATAGAAGTGGAAGTCAAGAGGTGGATGATGTTTGTCTTGTTTTCTCTTGTAATAATACTTTTAAATATAGTGTGCTTTTAATATCAGGAGATACTTTCTTTAAGTCTTTTCTAGAACTAATTTGTGGCATGATGTTTGATAAAGTATATATTGAAATATTAATTTCTGTAGAAATATTGGTATTTATGTCTTAGCAAGTCAGAAATAGGTTAGTGACTCTTGTCTCATTATACTTTTATTTTGAATGTTTGTTTTCCAGAACATCCTTGGATGATAGTTTCTGTGAAAGGGATTTGAATGTTACCTTGGCCTTGTCCATCAAAGAAAAATCAGCAAATATCCACGAAGTACAAAATTCAAAAGAACAAGGTTATTGTGCAGTTCAGTGCAATACTCTGTTTATATGTGGTGAACTCAACGTGACTTGTTTTATAAAAAATAGATTGAAAGTCATGTTTTTTTTCAAGATGTTGTGATAAGGAAATGTGAATTTCTAGGTGGTACCTGTCTTCTTATGTTAGTATTTTTTACTATGAGAAAAATAAATTCTCTATAAGATCTTTTGAATAGGTTGTTTAGAGAGAGATAAAAATTTTATTTTCATTTTTAATAAATTGCATTTTTATAATGTCATTTTCAAATATTACTATTCCATATTTTTAAAATTTTGTTTTCTGGATACCTAAAACAATAAGAATATTGAATCAGGAGATAGGAGACCTGTTTTTCCAATTGTAGTGTAGACAGTGAACTTTTAGGTAGATTGTTTTCATACTCTGTCCTTTCAGAAGTAGCATTTAAATTCACATTTAAATACATTTTTCTCATTTTTCTTTCTCGTATTTTCTGTTTTTCAATTATATGGGGAAAAAGAAAGTGTCTATATTTTAAAATATGCTTAATGTTGAGGAATTTAAAGACCCTAACATTGGAAAAAAAAAACTACTCTGAATGAAATAGTTACAGATCACTAAATATTATCTGGAAGAAACAATAGACACAGTGTTTTTAGATGACGAGTTTATCTGCTTTTACAAGAAGCAACACTTACCCTCAGTTACTTAATATGTCTGGAATATGTAAGCATCAGATAGATGTGTCCAAAACATTTGCTGTGCCACTGGAAACTTTTTCATATTTCTGATTTTATTTTGGCTTTCTGTCCTTTAGTTAGGTTTGATTACACATAAACAGTGATCACTTTTACTACCAAAAAGTACAGTTTGATCAGTTAAAAAATAAAGTGAGAATGTCATAAAAACAGGTATAGATAATATGCTTCTCTAATGGTGTAGTTTAGAAAAACAAAAAAGAATTCAGAGCCTCAAGACTCAAATACCTGCTTCTCTTTGAGCAGAGTTACTATGAATTTTGATTAATTAGACCGCCTTCTGTTTTCTAGGTCTCAGTCAGGTTCTAGATGATGACATACCTATGAATGGCTGTAGGCAAAGGACAGCAGCATTTGAAGCTTTCTCTCATCAGAAGTTACTGACCATTGACAGTTGTGACAGAGAGCACATTACTGACTCCGAACCAGTGACTGTACCAGGTAAGTTGTCAGTAAACACCCTCTGCTTAGATGTGTATTGAATGAGATTACTTACATTTAGGTTATATGTTCATTGAAGCACATACTTCTCCTTTTTTCTCTTTCCTTTCTCTTTACTGAAATGTTTTAATACTAGTGAAATCTGAAGACACTAAATCTAGACACTGGGGCTACGCATTCCCTAAACTGGCAAAAATCATCCACTTCTCTGTGTATGCTGCAGTATGTCAGAAAATCATTTTTCTACCCGCACTGTCCGGGGAAAAATGGTCTCTTGAAAGAGCCTCTGTTCATTTTTGCAACTGTATTGCAGAGAAGTATCACATGTTCTTCATCACAGTTCTTTCAGTGTTGTCTTTATCTAAGCTCATTAAAGAACAAAGTAGCCTTCCTTCTTTCCATTATCAACTCTCAAAAAACCTTGCTGCATCTGGTTCTAGGTCAATAAGATTCCAGTAGGATCTAATTACTGAATGTCTGTAGCTCTCTCTCTTATTCCCCAGTAGTTGATATGTCTCTATCCAATCTTTATCCATTACAGAAGGCTTACTGGAAAATATTTCTAAGATTATCAGTTAAATAAAATATTTGGAGAATAGTCCAGATATTCCTGCTTGGAAATTATTCCTAAGATTTGCTAGTGTATTTTTAAGAAATATTTAAATAATAAATGTGTAAAATCTTTCCTGCAGCTGAAATTTGACATATTTTTCCTCTTCAAATATTTGTGAACAAAATTATGTCAAAATCAGAGGCTCTGACAGAGTTTACCTTTTTCATCTAGCACATGGGTATTTTTTTTTAACTGATAATTAAAAACTGTCAATTGCATTTTATACCAGTGTTGAAATATTGAAATACAGGGAGAGAAATCTGTAAATGCAGAATGTTCTATGATAGCTATTTCCTTCACATTTCATCATGTAAATATATTTTACTATATTCTTAGTATACCCTGATTCTTTACATTCAACATGAGATTAGAAGACTAACTAGAATAATAGTAAATTCTATTTCCTCTAAAGAGTTGAGATCCTTTTTCCTTGCTGTAGATGAGGAATCAGAAGAAGATTCATATTATAGTGAAGGTAATGATGAAGACTGTGCAATGGAAAAGATGAAAATCAAAGGAAATAAAAAGGAAATAAAGAGGCAGACTGGAAAAGAAAAGACTCCTAAATCTGAGAATAATACTACTGGTAAGTTTCTACTATGAATTTGAATTTGAAATACACTTCTTTTTAGTATAAAGGTTCCTTTTGTTTTAATCCGTACCTTTCACAATAAATATTTCATGTTTTTTTGTTCTGATATTCATAATCATTTTTCTTATTTAAAAACAAAGTATCTTAAAAGGGACCTGCAGTGGCAGATAAATTAGGCTGACAAACTGACTCTACAGAGTTAAGGGAAATGGAGATGACAAAAAATCTGAAAGAAAAAAAGCTTTAAAAGAAATAAACGCTGCTTACAATAAGAACAGACAAAACTGAATAGACAGAGTTCATTTCTTTTTTAAAAAAAAACAACAGCATCTAAGAAAAGGCTACATAATATGTAAGTCTTTAATCAAAAGACAGCCAAACAATGCTAGTGTTAAAAACTGGAGAAAATGTTAAATATTCATGTCCTTCAGACTTGAATTTTTCTCTGTATTGCTAACACAATTTAGTTTTACCTAAATAGCGTAAGAAAAGTCTTACTGTCATGTTAATCCTGTCTGACTTGATAATATGTTTCAATTTCAGGCATGAATTTACATAATTTAGTTTACATTTAGTTTTAATTGTTACAAGGAATGGTTTGTTTTATGTAGCTGACTGAAGAACCTTCCCTCTTAGCAATTCAGTATCTGGAATATCTTTAACAAGAAATAGTTGCAGTGCTGATTAACAAACCAGGATTGAAATTCCAGAGTATAATAATTTTAACTGTTTAAATATATGTTGTTGGTTGGAAGACATGATTGTCTATTAACATCCACGTTCATTTCACCCAATTCAGAGAGGTCTTGCAGTAAAGAGATCTATCATCTTATACAATATAATGTTTTTTCAGTAAAAGTGTCTTTCCAAGCTTTTATTTTTATCTGTATTTACTCCTTCAAAAGTAACAAAACTAAAATCTGAGCAAACACAAAAGAAGATGTCCACGTCTCCAGAACCGGTTGGAAGGCCTTTACATACATCAAGTCCTGTAACAAACAAGAAGCCCAAATGGGTACCACCAGGTACATTAAAGTTTGTAGCAGATAGATTTGTTGTCTTAAGTTTTTAGAAATGCCTCCTAAAAGCACGCAAACAAATAAAGAAATATTTTAGGACAATGACTGCCCTCCAGAGCATAGATCAAATCGTAAGCAAGAGATTGTATTGTGTCCCTTTCTCGCATATTAAGAGTTTTCTTTAGCTCTGGTATGTGTTCTGTTGTTTTGTATTCTAAAATAATATTGGAAATATGTTTGAGTGTTTTAAATGCTTTAGTAAGATTAATAGTTAGGAGTTTTAATGTTTTGGGATGTTTAAGCATACTGCTGCTGACTCCTTATTCTTACTTTCCTTCATATTCCTTTTTTGCACACATTTCTTTTCTCTTTGACTCCTTTCTCTAAAACATTCTTTTCTCACTTGGCATTGTGTTCCATTGTGTGATTGTCTGCGGAACACCTGAAAATGCACGGTAGGCTAGGCACAGTCTTTCTCTGCCTGTCCAATGCCATGTGGTGCTATTGCTCTGATACATTGCTGGTTATTTAAAAATGTGTGCTATGCCTGCTGCTTTGGCTCCCAAATGGATCGGTTCCTCGTGAACATGCTAATTTTCTTGTACTTTCATGGTGTGTTGTTCAGTTCTTCTTGCAGTGCCTTTAGAATACCTTTTTTTTGCTCTGCTTTGAAAGCTATGAAAAGATTAGATTTATATGATTTTTTTCTCTGTGTTCATAAAACTTTTTGTTTTAAAATTATTTTCAGCTGCAACAGGAACAAGTAACAACTCTATGAAACATGCTTCAGTTAAATCACCTACTCAGTGTCTTAGGCTTGGCCTTTCCAGACTAGCAAGAGTCAAACCACTGCATCCCAATGCCACCAGCAGATAGGTGGTCAGTGGCAAGGTGAAGGACTGTATTTGGAAAAGACTTGGGAACACATTTTGCGTAGAGAGGGTGAAAAACCACTGGGCAATAAAAGCTTCATGACATCGTTGGTTTTCTAGGATAGTTGTTTAGTACACTTCTAATATTACAGAGTTTTATTCTGTAAAATGCTAGGCATCCTTAAGTGCTGCTGCATAATATTATTTGATCAAGGTGACATCTGGGTCACCAACTCATTATGTGTTATACTCAAAGATACAGGTTTATAATCTAATTCTCTGCTATGTGAATTCAGCATTAAAATAGTCTAACCAGTACTATGTCAATTATGGAATTCACTATCTCAAATAGATTATTTAATACAAGTGAAAGTGATATTTTAAATGTATTTCTTGGAAGACTTAAGCCATCACTTCTATCCTCTCTTCTTCACTTTCAGAATTTGTTAATGTTTGCATATCTTAAATGTGTTTTTAATTGCTTTTTAAATGTATTTTAGGTAGAAATTGTATTTAAAATGTATTTTGAAAAAATGTAAAATAAAATATATAGTCTAATGAATCTTAGTAATTGAGTTTATTAATTTTGAAGTTAACTTCCAAATTTTGTCTACAGCCCTGCAAATGAGGGGATAACTTACTGGACGTCAATAACATTAGTTAGGCTCAGACAATTAGGGTTTTGGCTTGGGCTCCTTAGTCTTTGTTGAAAACCATGATGTCCCTTGTGCATGTGGGATTTATAAAACTTGAAGTGATTGGTACTGAGTCATGAGACTGAGTTTTTAGACAGTTTCCCACCTAAGCATATTATACCAGATGCTACAATTGGCCCTGTATTAATTAAAGGATTTTGTCATAATTTGCATTCACGTAACTTATGATGCCTGACTGCTTAAAATATACAACAGTGTTAAAAGAATGCATGGTCCTATTGCTCAAAGTAGTTATGCAGGCAAAAGCATGGTATTACCTAAGGTAAAAAAAACATATATGGTATGACTAATTTTTAACTGCATAGTATATACATGATAAAACAACATACTAATAAATACATGCATTACATTATATACATTGTAAAAATAATGTGCATGTTGCCTTATGGAAGGAATGACAGGGTATTGGTGGACCAAAGATTATTTCTCAGAAACAGGGAGATTTGGGCATTGTTTAGTATAAACTCATTTTATCCAAATGGAATCACAAAGTACTTAATGAAGTGAGTGAAGTGGAGCCTAGTGAACCGGGCTAAGTGAGTTTAGGGAAGGCACATGCCTTTTGTCTCTATTGCCTCATTTGTGAATTGTCTTAGCTTGCTAAATTGACACATGAAAAAAAAACAACCCACCTTTACAGCAAATTGCCAGCTGATGTACTTGAAGCTGCTTCCAAACAAAGGTGAAACAGAAGTACCCAAAGGAAAAGATAAGTGCTCAAGAATAACACTTATGATAACTAGGAGGTCAGTGTTGTGTTATTCCTCTCCTTGATTCCCACTTTTTTGTGTTTACTTAAGTAGGTCTCTTCTGAGATGTGTGCTGGTTAAGCAGTGTAGCAGAACAGGAAGGAAACAGAGAGCCTTGGGCCTTATGGTGGCTCAATGCAGCATTGCAATCCACTACCTTCCACTTATGCATCAGTCGTTTTCTTTCTACTTGGAGTAATCATGCTCAACAGTCCCTTACAGCATCACAGTCGCCTGGTCTCTTTCTATTGAAATAAGTCTGTCAAGAATTATTTTGCTTTTCTACTTACTTTTCAGAATAAGTACATATTTCATGAGGTTAGATCTTTCCTTGCTGTAGGGAAACTTAGGTAACAATGATAAGTGTTTTCTTAGCGTGAAGCTTTTGGAAAATTCCCGGAATTGGTAGATTTAGTAAGCCCTATTTTCTCTGACTTTCCATTCATCCCATTTTTATTTTTTTTTCACAAAACATACATTTGAAATTTGTCTCACTCTGGTCTCAGTCTTGGCATCATCTTATTTTCAAAAATTACATGTCTGTCAAAATTGCTAAACCAAAATTCCACGTAGGCAATTGAAAAAAAAAATCCTTTGAAAGGTTCTTGATTGTATCTTACAATGCCACTCTATCCAACCTGAAAAAACCAGGTTCTGCCAGTAGATGGGGTTATTTATATAAAAGCTTATTGAAGGGAATGCTCAGAAGTGACCAAATTACTTGCAATTATTACAATAATATTTGTAAACCATGCTACATAGATATATGTCCATGCATCATTTTTTCCAGTTGTTGCACAGTGATGGGTTGTGGAATGCACTTGATTTGAATATCTGAAACTGTCAAAAAGATAATGTGTCTCTTAGCAAGTCAGAGTTCACAGTCTGCAAATACTTGCTCTTTTAGAACTGCATCATATTATTAAAAAAGTAATAACAGAACTGTTAAAGGAGAAGTATTTTTAAATGTAAACTGCCAACTCCTTCAAAGTCAAAGCTGTCTTGGGTACATAGCCTCTCTGATCTAGAGATCACCTCTTGCTTCAGAGCAGGTCTTTTTTAGGTGTTGTTTGTGACTCTGGATATATCATATTCCCAAAGATGGGTTCAACAGTACACTCTGTGAAGTGGAATCAGCATAGGTGAACTGTCTTTGCATTGCTGTCTGCAGTTCATGTGGTCATGAATCACGGGAGTGTATGTTGGTCATCCAGAACAAGATTGTGTCACAGAAAAACTGCAGAATTCTACCAGCCTGGAAACACCAGACTCCAAATCTCAGGCTCCAGAACAAGAGCAAAAAAAATATTTTGAAATGTATATTGTATATAAATGTATGAATTTGCCTTGAATATTTGTAAAGCATATTAAAAAAAAGAAAAGGTATTTCTGCATTAAGATTTGTGGGCAACAACATAGCAATTAATATTGATGCTTCTGCAGAGCAGTTCTTAAGTGTTGATTTAGCAGTACTTTTCAGTACTTCAGTTATTCTGAAAGTATTTGTATTTATTTTCATGAAAACTGCAACAGATACAAAGAGCACAATAACACTATTTGATAGAGCCAATTCTTAGCTACAAAACACTACTTTTCAACATAGCCATCACCACTGGTTATGCATTTTTGCTGGTGATAAACAACAGCCTGCATGCCAGACTCCTGAAAATCTGCACCACTGAAGGTGGACTACTGTCACCATTGCTAAAACATACCACCCATCATCTTACTGTGCTAACATCCACTTCTTGGTCTCCAAAAAACATTCAGCAAGCATCAATGAATGTCAGTGGATGCAATTCTTTTTGCATAGTGGAATTCAGTGACACACCTTTACCAATCTGGTGGCATTCTATGATGGAGTGACAGAATCGATGGACAAAGGGCCTTTGACATGGTTTTACACCACATCCTTAACTTTAAATTGGAGCAATATGGGTTTGAAGGGTGGATTATTTGGTAGATAAACTGGTTGGATGGTTGCAACCAGAAGGTTGTAGTAAATGGCTCCGTGTTCAGGTAGAGGCCAGCGACGAGTGGTGTCCCACGGGTCCATCTTGGGACTGATTCTCTTTAACATTTTTATCAGTGAATGACATATGTGCTGGGATCAAGTGCATCCTCAGCAAGTTTGCAGACAACACCAAGCTGAATGGTGTGGTTGATACAACAGAAGGAAAGGATATCATCCAAAGGGACCTTGACAAACTCAAAAGATGTGCCCATGTAAACCTAATGAGGTTCAACAAAGCTGAGTACACGTTATTGCAATCACAGATATGTATACAAAGTGGGACTAGAGCTATTTGAGAGTAGCACAGCTGAGAAGGACTTGGGGGGTCCTGGTAGATAAAAAACTTACCACAAGTCATTGGTGTGCACTTGCAGTCCAGAAGGTCAACTGTATCCTGGATTGTATCAAAAGAGTGGGTGGCCAACAGGGTGAAGAAATTGATTGTCCCTCTCTATTCTGCCCTTGTAGGCCCCAGCTGCAGTCATGCATCTAGTTCTGGGGCCCCCAGCTCAGTAAAGATGTGGAGCTGCTGAGAATGGACCCAGAGGAGGGCCACAAAAATAATCAAAGTGCTGGAGCACCTCTCCTCTGAAAACAAACTGAGGGAACTTGGCTTGTTCAGTCTGGGGAAAGTTCTAGGGACACTTCATTGCACCCTTCCAGTATTTAAAGGGAAATTATAAACATGAGGGAAATCAAATTTTTACATGGGTAAGTAGTGCTAGAACAATGGGGAATGGGTTTAAACTAAAGGAGGGGAGATTTAGATTAGATACTGGGAAGTTTTTTCACTCAGAGCATGGTGAAGTGCTGGAACAGGCTGCCCAGAAAGGCTGTGGATGCCCCGTTCCTGGAGGTATTATGGCCAAGCAGAATGGGGCCCCAAGAGACCTTGATATAGTGCTTGATCTAGAGACCTCGATCTAGTTGGCAACCTTGCCCATGGCAGAGTGATTGGAACTAGGTGATAATTTGAGATCCCTTCTAACTCAAGCCATTCTATGATTCATACACACTTATATGTCAGACTTCATTTTGTCAGACTTCCCCAATGCTGCCATCTGTCACATGGCAACAGAGTTTAACAGAATATTGCCAGAAAGCTTCAACCTCTACTGCCAGCATCTGACTCTGATGTCATGTTCCAACATAATAATATAGAAGACATTACTTTTGGAGTAGCCCTCATACATTAAGGTTTAGAATTTAGAGTTGATGTTCTTAATAACATAGAGTATTTAAAGGAAAATATTTAAACAGAACAGAAAGCAAGAGCAGGGCTTGGTCTTCCTGATTTGGAGGAACATCAAAACATGCTGAACAAGCTTGCAGCAGACATGGGTATTGGGATATTCCAGCACCAGAATGAAATCTAAGCTTTTAGATCTGGCTTCCTCATTTATATTCACTGATTTATCCTTGCTTAAGTACTTTATTGCATATTCTACTTTCATTATCTGTAGAGAACTAGCATTTATTTTCTGTAGGAATTTTGCTCACTAACGAGTTTAAAAGACTGCTAAGTATTTTGTCATTGTATTTATGAGGCCTGCATGTTGTATTGAATTTGAATTTTTCTAGTGTACAGAGAACAGCGGAGATAGTGTAATTATTTCTATGGTGTTGAAATACCATGCTGGGGAAAGGGAGCTAGGTTCAATTACTCCTGTCCTCTTAGAGGCTTGTCTGAATCTTCTGAAGTGGTGGTGATTTCCTAACTTCCTGGAGTGATCTGTTCCAGAACTTGAATTGCATAGCACATTATTACAAAGCTTTCTAATAGTGTTAATGTGATGAGAAATTTGAGTGATTAATTTATCATGTTGTATGGGAACTGCTGAGTCATGGGCTGAACCTCTGATTGATCACCTGAGGCGAGCAATGAGTCAGCCACGGGAGCACAGGTGAAAGCAATTCACCTGTGCTGCTGGAAGAGGTAGAGCCTGGCTCCACCTCTCCTAGACCCATTTAAGAGCTGACTACCAGTAGGCGAGGATCTCTTCTGGAGATCTACTCTGTTGGAGTTTCATAAGTGAGCCC